CACATGTCGTGGCATCGAGAAGGGATCACATCTCCTCTCGAGTAGCCACTGGCACACCGCCAGTGGTCAGGGGACAACCCCCTTTACGCCAACCTCACTGACCACTGCGCGCAAAGAGCACTTCACAATCGGACACGAAGCTTCGTCACAAGTCACTGATCCAAAAGTTGGAAAATCACTGGAGCCTCGAGATGGCGAGTCCGAAGGGTTCGATTGCGAGGGAACCCTCGCGTACCACGTCAGGCTTGGTGAGCTTGAGTCAATCTTCTCGAAAGCCAGCAGAAGCTTCCTCCACTCTGAATCCCGCGATGTCCCTTTAATGCAAGAGCTGAGAACTCCGGCATGATCGATAAAGAACATGGAACGAGTGTTATCTAGAAAACGGCTCCAGACATGCCTCGCCACAATCACCGCGTACAATTCAGTCGGGCCTATCAAATGGCGCTTGCGGGCAGCTCGCCACGCAGTGGCCAACTCAGCAGGAACAAAACCACTGAACCATCTCGTGAGCCAAACCTTGCCAGTCCAGAAGTACAGAACACCGCCAATCGTGAGCTGCTGGTTGCCCTCATCGCCTTCACAAGCGCCATCGGTGAAGACCAAAGCCCTCGCAGCAGAAGTAGAAGCAGTCAACACCCGAGGCTTGCCGGAAGCCACGCGCGAAGCGAGCATGCGGAAGACATCCTTGTCCAAGTCGTCGAGTTTTACATCATGATGAGCTCTCTCAATCCAGCGAATGTCCGCCATGGCAAGACGACCTGCCCTGCCAAGGAGCTGGGTCTCAGCGAACTGCAAACGTCCAAAAACAGATGCGGCTTCGCGAGGCTTCAAAACGCCATCGGAAACCACCTTGTCAATAGCACTGCGAAGGTCCGCGACTCGTGATGGCTTATTCGAAAGAGTGACAGCAGCAGGACCCGAAGTAGAGGTGGCCAGCCTGATACCAAGAAGGTCAGTGCAGGGGGAGAAGGCCTCATCCTTGTCCTTGGCCCACGTAAAGCCGAAAAGATCAAGAACAGCCTTGGCACACCGATCAGCGTTCTGGCTCAACTCAGCCACCTCCAGCAATGGGTAGTCATCAAAATAATTTGCAGCAAGCAATTTCATCTCATGAAAAATTCGTTGCACCAAGCGCGCCACCCTGTTGAAATGTCCAACACTTGCGATGCTGCCAAAAGGCAACACCCGACACAAGAAACCCTTGGGCTCATCATCGGCCGGATCTTTCAAAGAGATCACGCTGAACCTTCTGTCATCCGGATGCAGCGCGAGCTGTTTGTAGGCAGATTTAAGGTCCACCGTCTTAACGAGAACACGAGCCCTCTCGGGATGCTGCAGCCAATAGGGATGAACGCGCCCTCGAAGAACGCGACCTGGCCAGCCGAGCGATGCCGCCACCTTACGAAGAAGGAGAAGCTTCTTGCCTTTAAGCACCGATGCGACACCTGGATCGAGACTCTCATGAAGGCGATCTTCATCAGCCTGAAGATCGCGGGCCCACGTCCTCCATTTGTGTAAAACGGAAAGTCTATGCCTCAGTATGTCGACAGGGCTACTAGCAAGGAGAGAGGCAACGATCTCCAGAATCCTGTCAGGCACAGCTTTACAAGAATCAAAAGGATGCTCCAAATCCCTTGCGGCCGAAACAAACTCAGAAGGACTCCTGTAAATGCCAAAAGAAGCAAGAGGCCTGCCAGCAGGAGCCGAAGGGGAGGAAGGGCCTAAACCCGAAGCGGGAGCTAAACCCAAGGGGCCTAAACCCGACGCGGAACCCACCCCTTTCACCGGCCTGCGAAGGAGTTTAGCCCCAGCAGGAACAGAAGGCAAAGCAACCGTCAAGCATGATTTTGCATCAAGCGGCAAATGCTCGACAGAATCCACTGCAACGGTCACCCGATACTTGAAATCTTCAAGAAGCGGCTTGTACTTAGAGAGCTTGGGCTGCCGCCGAGCAGAGGCAGCAGCTGCATGAGACGACAGTTCGAGAGGACATTCACGCACAAGCTCCAAGTTGAAAGATGCAGCCTGAAGTTGCAAAGCCGATGACATGGCCTGACAGAGCTCATGAGGGTACGCAGCCTCTTGAGCGGTGGCGTATTGAACACCAGACTTGTTCCTAACGGGCTGCCAACCTGCATGCGAATGCTTATTGTCACAAGTCTTTGCCAATGAGAGCATCTCGACGCACGTGGTGAGAAATCGAGTAGATTTCTTGCGGCAAGAGCCCCACATGCAAGAATCAAAGACAACATCAAGACACTGAGAGCGCAAGTGCTTCCACTCCGGCAGCAGCCACATGTAGCTGCGCTCAGGATTCTCAACACTCCAACTGATGTTCAAGGAAGAGAGCCACTCGCAGAAGCGTGCCATCTGAAGATAAATCAAGTTAGCACTCTCAACTTTATCGCGCCAAGTGCCACGCAGCCAAGGAAAGCCCTGTGGGTAGCGATCCGACCTCAACGGGGGAGGCCCCCACTCTGCCGATGACATAGGCCTGTCGCGCGCCCTGGAAGCGGTGCCACAAGGAGGGGCGCCGTGAAAATGAAAGACGCGATTTGTCAAGACACAAGTTTGCAAGAACTCCCAAGACGCAGGCTTTCGAAGGTCGGGCGTCACCACAGTAACGAGCGGCCTGTGTCGGTTGCCCTCGCAGTCAAGTGGCAAGACGTCAAAGCCATCCTTCTTAAGCGTAGCAGACAAGCGTGCGCAACCACAACACGCCTCAATCACAAGCAAACGCGCAGGCTTGCCGACGGAACTAAAGTTGACATCATCGGGAGGCTTGCACACGGTCAACGGCTGCACAGCTGAGTTATCATCAAAAGTCTGAGTCACAGCTGGCCTTGAAGAAGAACGCAAATCGACCAGGCCTGACGTAGCACAGGCCGGAACAGGCTGTCCAATGGGGTAATGGGGTTGATATCCAGGTTGAAGCCCAAAGAAGCCAGAGCCTCAGCGTCAGAAGAACTAAGCTTCGAGAAAGCAGATACGGCATACCCCACCAGCACGATGCGCGTGCCAGTCCAAGGCATAACTGTGTGTTTCCGGTTCCTGGCGTCGATAACACACGGCCCTGCAGCAACGTCAGCCACGACGCCAAGGGTGTGGTTGTCCTCAGGGGAACGAACAGAGCCCGATGCGTCCTGAAGCCAAATGCCGCCTCCTTCAAACTGGGAAAGAGGCAAGATGATGTTATAGACATCAGCATTAAACCGATCGACATGAGTTGTAGTCGGGGCATCAGCATGCACCGAGAAACTGGTGAAAGGATACGATGGGGCAGCAAACCTGATGGCACTCGCAAAGGCTTTACGGGCGTTAGGATGTTTCCGAGAATTTGCTCGGAGACCGACGATGCCACCTTTCATGTACGCGCCGCCTCCAAAGGCGCGCGCACCCGAATCATCACTGCGAGGGCAATCCTCAAAAGGCAGCATCTCAAAGAGTGCCAACAAGTCCTTGGCATGAAATTCTGACTTCTCAAGTATCATCTCAGCAAAATGCTCAGAAGACAAGGATGAAACATGTTCGACATCACACAACGGCTCAGATTGATATCTAGCGCCATTGCCAGATTCTGTTTCAAGCCCAGCTCTTTCGGCTGGACTTGACTGAGTCGCATCAACGCGACCACTCAGCGCATCATCACATACCGCTTCACCGCGTAAAGCCTTCATCGGCTTCAACCAAGGGCCAACACTTGGCCTGCGCCGAGCACTAGCAACACCGGGCACCCAAGCATCACCGCTCGTACCCGGTCGTGGCATACAGCTGCCACCAGATGAAACATCATTAGCGATGCCAGCACCTGGCTGCGCTGAAGCCGATCCGTTTAACGGGGCCTCTTCGACGACTGACGAATGAGCTCTCGGCTTGCCTCGAGAGTCAGCCGACAACGCGGGTGCACTCAAAGGTCTCTTAGAGGAAGCACCCCTGGGACTTGATAAATTCACGGCCTCACTCATCGAAGACTCGTGCGACCCACTGCATGCAACAGAAGAGGAGCCTAGTCACTCCTTCTTACCCGACCTCTTCGGGCACGAAGAGGCAGAGTGCGCACCGCCGCATCCCGGCCACGCGCAATTGTGCAATCCTTTCTGGCATTCATTGTTCTTCACGGGGCGAGAGCAGCCATGAGACATGTTAAAGTCGTAACACAACGGCTTCCCTTTTTGAGTATAGGCTTTGCAGCCCTCCAACTCAGCAGGCATACGAGGGGTACCCATTCGCCCTGTTTTCCCCTTCAGCTTGCCCTTGCCCTTGCCGTTCCCTTTCCAAGTCGGCTGAGGCGGCGGCGCCGTAGCCGTGGACTTTGCAATCGACGCAACACTGGGCGCTGGGAGCGGCAGGAGCAGCGAACTCACTTCCGCACGATGCATCACATCCTTGATCAGGTTATCAACCGGACGCCCCGAACTCAAAGCCTGGATCCCAGACCTTGTTTCATCCTGAAGCTCACTGAATAGCTTCTGATCTGCAAGGCGAAGCTGGTCAAACGAAGGCCTTGAGTAACCAGGCGGGGGGTCCGTAAGACGGGCCTTCATCAAACGCTGATGCCAAAGGTCAAGCAAGGTGTAAGAAACAATGTTAGCTTGCTCCATGGCCAAAGCTCTGCGCTGCAGGGCCTGCATCACGAGCACCTCAGTGCTCGTATCAGCGACTACCTCCTTAGAGGCAGAGTCAACTTTAACCTTGCCCGAACTATCCAGCGCAAGCTTGACCTCCTTACGTGATTCATTCTGCGCCTCTTGCTCCCTGGAAGAGCACCTGGACCAAGGCACGTACTGAAGCTGATTGCGCTCGTAGATTGCAACACAGACATCGACGAGCCGTTCAGAAGGCTCCGAGCTTCCCTTTATGTTCACGCCACTAAGCCGTTTCACTTGCTTTTCGTACCTCTCGGCTCGCTCGGGCTGAGTGAGGGTACGAACCTGAACTTCCTCCGACCTTTCTACCTGTTGTTTCAGCTCGGCAGTAACAACAGCATAAGCCTCGTGAAAAGCTGCACGCCACGAACTCTTCAAAGCAATCGAAAGATCAGGCTCCGACAGCAAGGAAGACAGCACCTCCATGAGAGGGGCATCATCNNGGAAGAAATAAATGCCAGGTTCTTCAAAGTCCTTACCGAAGAAGCGATCGTCTCGACCTGAGCATCTTCGAACCCAGCGCGCTTCAGCCTGTCCTTCAGCACCGGTGTGCTCTCGCTGTATGCAGCAGAACTGTCAGCCATGAAGCCAGCTACTCTGCGAGGGGCACTACCAGCAGATCCAACCCGGGCCGCTAGCTCGGGATAGTCGTATTCAATCGCAGCGCATTGCTCTAAAGGTGCAAACAGTCAAATCAACCCGTTGCTGAGGCCAGGACCAATACCCGGCACAGCCGACACACTTTTACAAGGAAGCTGAAGTTCATCGCCAACTCTCAGCACTCTCACGCTATGAGTTGGGAAACAGGACCACCCTTGGCAAGACTGACTCTCTGAATCAGAAACACAAATCAGCACAAACCCCGAATGCAAAGCCAGCGGTGCACACGGCTTTTCCTGCATCAGCGCGGGAAGTGGTCACGACTGAGGCACCGGCAGGCATTGTTTACAAACGGGGTGCAGTATCCTAGGGAGAACGTCCAGTTTAAAGAAACTTGTAGTGACAGCCCTGCCGCACTTGAGATGACTTCCCTCTTCAGGAGAGTCACAGAAATGAACGATGCGCGAGTTGTGATGCCTAAAAGCAAACATACCGCTAACCAAGTCACGCGCACCCTCAAAAGGCTCCCACGGGTCCAACAGCTGCAAAGCCTCCTCCTCGTCACGATGGTCAGGACGCTCCTCGTCCTGAGAGTCTTCCGAAGAAGAATCAGAAAGAGGCTCGGCAGGCTGCTCTGCCTCATCCTTAGGCCGCTTGAAATAACCTGAACGGAGTGAATCCGGAAAGAATCTCTTACAGGCCACCGCGCGAATCACCTCATCGAGTTCACGCAATGGCTGCGAAATGTTATCGCGGCCATACACCAAAACACTTCCTTTGCTCTTGCTGTGATATCCTAGAATTGCACGGGTCTGAAGCGAAAGTCCGTATTTGCTTGACCAGCTCAGCAGGGTAGCCTTAAGGCTATGCGTCCCGAGCTCATGAATCTCATTCTTAGGAAAGTCGGTCGGATGCCTGTACAACAGACCTCGCAGCCAACGAGCCGACGCCTCGGGGGACAGCGGCACGTTCTGCCACTGACCATTCTCCATGGGCCCGGGCAGCAGAGGACGCCCTGGGCCTAAAGGAGGCCCGTTCTCCGCGAGAACCTTCATCCACTCCAGACCCCAGCACTGATCGGAAATACCATGGATCGTAGCCACCATCGGCAACCAACGAGTTTTACGCTCTAGAGTAGTTGAGGTCTTAGAACGCTCAATCCTCGCTTCAAGATAGCCAGTCACATCGCCGTCCTCATCCTCGCAAAGGTCCTCTTCAAGAACAGAAGAATTCTGAGCATCCGAGTGCCTCGCCCGAGCATAGATGGCGAATAGGAAAAATCCTGCCGCCACCCTGTCAGCAGCGCTATAATTGGCAACCTTGCCACACACAATCTCCTCCAGAGCAAAAACATGTTTGGCGTGAAGCGGCGGCTTCTGCTGCAGCTTCCGCTTAGTCATATAATGCTTTGCAGCCAAACCTGTAATCCTAGGGCTGAAGACATCATCATCCAAGAAAGCGCCCATGACATGTTTCAAGAAAGCCAGGGTCCCCACGAAGCTGCGAAGGTGAGTCGCAGCACACTTCTCACCAGTCACTTGCATGTAATGATACGCAGAGCTCTCCGCAATAGGGAAAGGAGAAACAGCTTGTGACTTGCAAAAACTCATGTAGCGAGCAACAGGTCCCGCGCGGGTATGCAGCGTCGAAGTAGCCTTGCCTGCAAATATATCCTCCAGGACAGATGCCAAGCTGTTCTGTCGTCCTGCAGCAACATCTGCCTGCATCTGCCTTCCGAAAGAGAAATGCATTGCATACGGTCCAACCATACTGGACCACTTAGCCAGGGCAGCGGACCTATGAGAAGAAGACTTCGCATCCCAAGAAGAGCCCGCCTTCTTGGCCAGCTTGAAAGCAGTGCCCAGAAAAGCTGTTGGGTCTCCCTCCTCAAGCTTGCCCCCTGTCACATCAGGTCGTGAAGGCCCCGCCGTGCCTGGCCTTCCCTTAATAACTGGAAAGGAAGGCAATCTAGGACCCTTTCCCATCACGGGTCCTCGTTCCCAAGGCTGAGTAAACAAGGTCACTGAATGTTGAAAGACAGCATGCTGCACATGCTGCTCAAATGCGTCACTAGCATCACGCTTCATTCTCAGCCTAAAAGAGCAGGCACCACTGAGAACCGCCTGCTGTGAGTGCACATACATGTGTGAGGGCATGTGCACCAGTCTCTGCAGAGCTGCTTGTAGCTTTGTTTGCATGTTTGAGTTTTAATTCGTTAGAACGCC